CCAGTTGGGTCATAACTTCTGTTAGATCCTTTGTTTCTTTGTTAAGTTTCTGTCTGGTGGTCCTGTCTAGTGGTGAAAGCGGTGTGTTGAAGTCTCCTACTATAAGTATGTGTGGTTTTATGTGTGGTTAGAGCTTTAGTAATGTTTCTTTTACAAATGTCGGTGCATTTGTATTTGGGGCATAGATGTTCAGGATTGAGACTCCATCTTGATGGACTTTTCCTGTGATGAATATGAATTGCCCTTCTTCATGTCTTTTGATTGATTTTAGTTTAAAGTCTAATTTGTTAGAGATTAGGATTGCTACACCAGCTTGTTTCTTGGGCCCATTTGATTGGAAAATCCTTTCCTAACCCTTTACTCTGAGGTGTAGTGCCTGTCTTTGAAGTTGAGGTGTGTTTCTTGTATAGAGCAGAAGGACGGATTCTGTCTTCGTATCCATTCTGTTAGCCTGTATCTTTTTATAGGCAGGTTAAGACCATTGACGTTGAGGAATATTAATGTCCATTGATTGCTGGTTCTTGTTTGTTTGGATTTATTGGTGGTGTCATTGTGTGTGGATTTCACCCTCCTGTTTCTTTTTGTGTTTGGTAAACTTGGATTATCTATTGCATATGTTTTTGTGAGTGTAGTTATCTTCATTGGGTTGGAGTTTTCCTTCCAGAACTTTCTGTAGTGCTGGATTTGTGGGAATGTATTATTTAAGTCTGATTTTGTCATGGAATATCTTGTTTTCTCCATCTATAGGGATTGAAAGTTTGCTAGGTACAGTAGTCTGCATTGGCATCCAGTTTCCCTTAGTATTTGTAGGATATCTATCCAGGACCTTCTGGCTTTCAAAGTTTCCATTGAGAAGTCAGGAGTGATTCTGATAGGTCTGCCTTTATATGTAACTTGGCCTTTTTCCTTTGCTGATCTTAATATTTTCTCTTTATTCTGTAGGTTTGGTGTTTTGATTATTATGTGTCGTGGGTACTTCTTTTTGTGGTCCAGTCTGTTTGGTGTCCTGTAAGCTTCTTGTACTTTCATAGGCATATCG